GATATGAAAAATTTGTGAAGTGCGCAACATTTATGTATAATACAATATTTTAGAAAGTAAAATTTTGTAAAAATATTCTAATTCTAAATTTATTGTTATTATTATATGTATATATATAATCAAGATATATAAATGTAATTTTATAGAGTTTAAATTATGTACATATATTTATAAAGAATCTTATTTAATTTCTACGATATACAAGTAATAGGTTCTGAGATAATTTAAGCATTTCGTTAAAATTAAAATCAAATGTAATTTTATTGTAATTTATATATTTTATAGTTTTCAAATTAATCATATATACTTAACACTTCAATATAAATTAAGGAGAGAGATATAAATATTTCGAGACTATATAAACATTTAAATATGTTTTTAATTTCGTCATACAGGCAGTATTATGTTGTAGAACAACATGATTTCTTATTAAAGAGAATATTCAGCGGCAACATTCTTGATATTAAACGACGTCAAGCATTATTCTCCAAGCAGGATCTTTGCGAAGATTCTAAAATATCGCATTATATTATATGCGTGCTACGAGCATTATTATAACACTATCTACAAGAAAGCGATATATAACGATTAGAGAATATTGGAGATAATTAACGCGGAGCTTGTAAAGAGAGAGATTTTCTTGTCTTTTTATATATGACAGGATGCTTTTCTCGCTGTTCCTTCCCATTATTCAACCATCATATTCGCAACATCAAAATTTTTTTTCTTTTTGCATTCATTCTCTCTCTCTCTCTCTCTCTCTCTCTCTCTTTCAATTTTGCCACAGATCATAATAAAGGAACGAACTACTGTTTCTAGTACGCTGCATGTGTATAGAAATTGTTTTCGGTAAAAAGCTCGAACTAGAGAAACTGAACCTTTTGATTCTTCTCTGATGCACGTTTATAGCGGCTATTGTTCAATATTTTGTTACAATAGGGCAATAGACATCACATATATAGCGGATTTTATAATGCACTCTACATAAATTGGTTTCAATTTTAATACTACTAGCGAACTGTCAATAGCAGAGTTTTCAATGGAATTTATCTTCAACTCTATGAAAATTTAACGGCTTACTGTGTATGATAACTAGTCAAGTTTCTGTGTTATATAATAGCTTGATAATTATTTTCTACAGAGTTAAACTGTTGGTAACAAATAATACGATGTGCATTTTGCAATAGCTTAAAATATCGAATTTATTGAATTGGAAAACAAATATATACGCAATTTTTTTTAGCCAAAATTTTATAGAATATTTATAATTCTACCTAACATATTCAAGTAAAAATATATTAAATCAACAGTTAAAATTGGAATAAAATCAATTTTGCATATGTAAAGATGAATTTTATAATTATTGTTATTAGGTATAAAATTATATTGTCTATATATATAAATATATCTATATATGTGTTTATATTAAAATTTATGCGCGAATTATCAATTTTAATGTCCAATTTAAATTGTAAAAGGGTGCAAAGGCTGTCATTTAGGGTTACTGTTTCTCGAAGATAACAAAAGAGGATTAATTGAGTTTTGGATTAATCAATATAAATCATAGAATAAATATGAAATTATTAAAAAACCGTGATTAACATTTTCACCCTTTCGCAGATATGACATCTCATCATCTCTCATCATGGCATCTCATCTCGTACAATATAGAGGTTGAAATAATGTAATACACATATATATATATATATATATATAATGATGTGCGTATTCAAATGTGTTTATTATAAACCGCGGAAGGAGTTCAACAATGTATAAGCTAGACATCAATTATAATCTACATAATTGAGTCATATGTAAGGCATTATTGACAGATCTGTCAAAATTCGACACAAATATCTTTTTATACTCATGTTAGATATTTCGGAATTACAAACACACATATAAGAAACGTCAAAATATTTTAAACATAAAATTATTATATTTTAATTTTAACCTTTTAACTAGAAAATATTATTAGTTAAGAAAATTTTACAACACAATAATTATATCATGTATAATAACGATGTAAAATATCCAATTTTGCAAGATACATTTATATTATATAATAAAGACTTTCAAATCATACATCATTCCTTTCTAAATCAATAAACTTTCTACATCATCGATTACGACTCTACTTGATTTATCCGACCAAATAAGCTTTACGGCCGAGAAAATCTCTCGATCTCCGACCCGACGAAAATATCTAGAAGAAAAGGAAGGGAAAAGAAGGGTTACTATTCCGCTCTCCCATAAGCTTTCAAAGTTTACCGGCACTTGAATCGTCCCAACAAGTCTTAAATCAAATACTGTTTTTCGAAAAACAAATTCGAATAAAGATTGGCAACGCGCATTCCAGAAGTACATTACGATCAGGCGGAAGAAAGAAAATTCTCGCGTCGCGTTCAGATTTTCATTTTACTAGAAATTTACATTGTCTGATTCAGCATTTCTCTTCCTCCGAGATTGTAAAAATACAACAAATTGAAACCGAGAACCGCCAGATCGACGAGTGTTTTCCTTATTTGGATCGAATGGCGAGAAGTTTCTTTTTCGCCGAATCGACTCGTCAATTTTTGCCTCAACAATGAATTTCTCTTTCTCTCTGACGGATCCTTTCAATATCAGAAACTCGAAGGCGTATTTCGTGCATTTTCACTTGATCATCAACCAAGACCTTCAGCTATTGCTTAATTTATCCGTGCATCTTCATATAGAAAGAGCAAGTGATTTTTAAATATTTTTAATTTTTTTTATTATGCATCCAGTGTTTTTGTTTATTTTGTTTATTTTAATTGATCTTGTATTGTCTTTTATCTAGACGATATATTAATATTTAATAAAACAAACAGCTCTCTTTTTTCCATTGTTCTACACGTATAACATTACATATCTTACGATATGCGATAATTCCATGTTTACAGTAACGCAGCAAAGAGAGAGAGAAATCCAGATATATTTTTTCCCACAGATTCCAGCGCTTTAATTCGGGTAATTAAACCCGAATTGCAGAATTACATCCTCCGTTTAATCTTCGCTGCGGATCTCCTTTTGTTCCCGTCTTTTTTGCTCGCGAGCTTACTGTGGTTCGATGCGAAAAAGGTCGACAAAATCCCCTGTATTGCGTCGTCGCGCAAAAACGGATTTTTGTAATCCAACAGACGTCTTCGATCCTGCTAAAGCGCTTCCGTCACTGACTACCAGCAGAGCTGATCGATTGCGAAAGAGAGAGACTCGAAGCGAAGTTCGCTTTTTCGCACATATGATGCATTCTATCGGGCCGGAAATAGTTACTCGTTTCGGCTGTCATTTAATTAACAGGCGTAACACAGCCTTTTAACGAAGATTCTGCGCTCTGCCGTTGATTAATTTCTACTCCGCGCTCTTTCATAGTAGATCCTTTAAAAACGAGTTAATAACTTTAACACAGATCCATAATAAATTTGTCGATATCCGTCGATTTATAATCACAGTCACCGGTCATTTTTTTTCCATCAAATTCGAACAATCAGCGTGCTAATGTTAAGATTTTCACTAATAGATTGTCAGGATTATTTCATCGACGATATTTTTAATGCTTTATCATTTCGTGATAAGGACAAGTTCGAAGAATAAAAGCAGCGCTGATGCAAATTTGAAGCGTGTCTCAGAAACATTAGAATTAAAAGAATAATTTATGATTGTAATTATCGATATATTATAATTATCAGATGCAAGCGATTAGTTCTTTTTTATTTCATATGTAAATGTATTTTTAAAACAATTGTAATTCAGACATCTGTTATGAATATAAATTATGAATATATTCATATAATTTTACTTAAACTCGATGCATATACAATACATACAATTTTTTTTGAATGCAAATGAAAAGGTTTTTGTATTTTTAATACATTTTATTTATCTCATATTTTTCAATCACTTAATTTATTAAATATTTAAATAAACGTGAAAAATAAAAACAATTTTTAATTTTGTGGTATATTTTTGCGGATTTTATTAAAAAGTTATGATTAATACGTTTATGATTAAATAAGCATTTCTTTCTCCAATAGATTTTTTAAATAAATATTAAAAAAAATAATTTAATATTCGTAATGTCAGATAATATAAAGATTTCGAAAGAACCCGTTTTTAAGTTGTGCAGGCACTCCCAGCTATCAAGAAACATTATACGTTCATCGACCCATGAACGACAATTCAGGGAGGGCGATAATCCTAATCGACATGTCTGATGGTACGCTGACCCTCTCTACTTGCTATGACATTCGATTGCATACGTGTTCCACTGAGATATAATCCGCATAGAATTGTCACTAGTTTGACTAGCGTCCATCATTATATTGTGACGCATTGTCCAAACTGCATTGATTTCTAATGTTTTGAGTAAATTAATCAAAGAGGGATTATCATATTCTGTTGCGCAACGTTTACAACACTGTATTTTGCTTCCTCGTGGAGAAAGCTTTGCTTTATAATACCTCTCATTTTATTTGCATTGTTTAAACAAATTTTTTGCGCAACTAAAAACAATTAAAACTCTTCAAAGGCATACTTCACTGCAATTTTTCATACAGTTCAAAGTCACTGAATGACGCGTCAGCAGTTTGTGAATTAGTTTCTGACGTTCACAATTTTTTTATCACGTTAATATATCATTACACACATTTTCAAATTTTGTGTACATTTAGAAGAGTAGATCGTGAAAAAAAAAAAAAATTAAAAGAAGTTTTTAATATATTAATTTTAAACCCGCAATTTTAATAATTTGCGATTAATATTACACTAAAATTACACAATAACGTCAATCAAATCGACTACCACGAAACGAAGTTTCTAAGCACGTACAATTGACGCTTAGGCAACATACCATATATCGAAGCGCGCGTCTCAAATTTCAAACAGAGTCTTTGTCACCTGATCCGACGGAAACCGGAAGCGATTTACTGGTATCACTGGTGACCCAGTTGAATCAAACACAGAGAACCCCGATTACTCACCGTCGCGCTGACGTTGACGACGATGACGAGGAGGAGCAACCGTCGAGACGAATCTTCCGAAGCGAGACGTATCGTATCGTTGAATCTCGAAACGTCAATCGCGCGTACTTTCGCGATCTACGAACGTTTACGGCAACAAAGAGTCATAGACGAACGATCCCGCGCTTGTTCGAGAGTCGAAGTGGGATAGCCACTTGTAGCGTCGACGGATGACCGGGCGCGTAAACCAGACTGGCGGGTTGGCAAACAGGTGAGACGCCGTCGCGTGCCTCTCTCACCCTGTCCTTCTCTCTCTCTCTCTCTTTCTTCCACTCCCCTGTAGCCGCTCGCGTCGCACTCCTTCCACTTTCACCAGTTGCACCCTCTTGGTTTCATCCCTGCGCGGTTCCAACCCCTCTTTGCCCGTTATCTATCTCGCTCAGAATTCGGATTATCTGTCTTATTTCTCATCTCTTCTAGAGAGATCGCTCCTTTTCTCTCTAACCCACGTATATATATTTTTTCCTTCTCGCAATTATATTGCCATCTTCCTCCTTATCACCTCGACGCACCCCTCTACTTTTCACTCATCTCTCTTCCTCGAAATAGCCTTGCCGCTACTCGTGTCTCCCTTCCTTTCTTTCTCTCCTTTTCTCCCTCTTTCTCGCACTAAAGGCCCCACGTCACGCATCTCCTCCCTCGATTCACCCTCTCACTTCCACATTCAGATTCACCCTCCCGTTTTTCCAACACGACGTCCGCTTCTCCTCGTTTCCAAATTCCCCTCTTTCCTTTGGTATCCCACCGACCGTTCCACCCTCTTTAGTATGACTCCCACCAGCTATTTCTCTCACCAGCTATGCCGCCCTACCCTACGGAAGTTCGTGGCGCGCTGTTTCCTACCCCCGTATAGAGGCACAACCGGAGGTACTTGCGTGCGCAGCATGTCCATCGATCTATTTCAGCTCACCTACGCTCCTGCTAGGCTGGGCCTATACCTGCTGTCGCTTTTCTATCCCCTGCGCGAGGACGGGTGCGTTCACACTACACATCGTTACATAGACGAGATGGAGGGGTGAGCTAAGGTAGAGAGGGATTGAACGAAACTTCGACGAGAGACCCAAAGACACGAATTTCATTCTGGGTTACTAACATCAAGAGATTTTCGCGGATATGATAGCTTAGATCGGGGTTTAGTCAATTTGATTTGTCTTGAAATCGATCAGATAGATATGTATGGTTTGCTTTTATTGTTTAGTATCCACATAATTAACCCTTAGTCCCAGTTAGACTCATGGGTCGTTTGCGACCCAGTGAACAAGTGATTTTTCCTTAGGTACCTTTATTTCTTAATAACAAATTATATAAAAATATAATTTTTATCGAAATATTATGATTGGGACTTCAAGTTGAAGGTTGCAAGAAGCTCCATTAATTTCTTCAGATTTTTTAAAGCGTTTTTACTGATCCAAATAACGCAAAGACGCAAACGACCCATGAGTCGGGATTAAAGGTGCCGAAAAGAACCGTCGGGACTAAGGGTTAATTAATTATCGGTTCATTTTATAGAATTGTTACATTTATCCTCCTTAAATTTGTATATATATGTGTGTGCATGTTACTTCTTGAATATATAAAAATTAAACATACTGAAATATATATAATTATTACATAATTATAAGCGATAATTTTTTGTCTCGCCAGTGAACATAAAGTAAGATAAAAATTCTTGACGACCCAACTGGCAATCATATATATTTTTTATCTTATTACATAATTGTTTAATTTGGACATATTAATAAGCTTTGTATACCATTACATTAAGTTTTCATTTATTTTAGCTGAACGGCCTTTTGTGTAATGCCTTAAAATGTTTTATCTTACTTTTGGCCAATTCTAAAATAATGTTCAGCGAGAAAATATACAAAATGAGTTATTAAAATTAATATCGGATTTTAGTATACATTTTCTCTGTATAAAATGACACAATATACATTTGAAAACGTTTTTGGAATGACATACTAACAGAGCAAATTAAAATGTGCTACTTTAATTAAAATATAATATATATTTTTATTTTCTGGAAAAACAAATTATATTAAGAAATAGAAATTATTTATATATATTTCTAAATCAATTAAAATTATTAAGATATTGGTCAATTTTTATATCAATTATCTTTTTATAATATTGGCGTTATCATCATCAGTGTAACCGCTAAGATTTATTACCTATAAGATACAGACGACACGATAATTGTGTTAGTACACGTGGAATGCTGTCAGGTTAGTAAAATCGTTTATTGCAAGAGTCTAACGCTACTCGCATGATTGTAATTTTCATGGGAATTGCTTGGTGACACAAATGGTAGTTATATGCGGTAGTCACGCATAAAGATATTCAATTTTGTCGCACGATAATTTCTCGCTAATTGCTGTCGACTTGATATGTATTTCATCGTGTATTTTATTAGACGAAATCTCACATAACGCACAAAATTATCACGCACTTTAAAAAAGACACTAAAAAAATCTGAAAAATATTTTGTTGTTAGTAGGTCCAAATTTTGATGCCACAGATATGCGTAAAATTGAATTGTTTTCGTTTGTAATAATGAAAACGTTACACAATATTCGTACAAGATATATATAAATTTGTATATATTTTCCATTTCTATGTATATAAATTCCTATATTTTACGCCATCGAAAATTGAACTCGTTGAAAGTTATCAATGTGTATATTTCATAGCTTAGTTTCGTAGATTTATCGCAAATTCATGAATTCACTCGTCAGATTAATGGATTCATAGATCTACAGAGATAAACCGTATATCTTCGAATAAATGGACCGACTAAACAAACGAATTTTTTGATTGTCAGTGTTTCACAGACTAGAGGCAGAGCATATGTCATACTTTTTTATTTTTCCAGATTTTTCTCATCCGTAAGATATTTCGTCGCGGGATTTGTGGTAGATAATAAATGTTTGGATTTGATTTAACGTGTAAACTTAGAGATGAGCGGCTGAAATTGTTTTTATTTTCTACAAAATGAAAATTCCTTGCAATCTAAACCAACGAGTATCACACCACAACACACAACTTAAAATTATTTTAAATTCGTGTGTTCTTTTTATAGCTTTTTTTTAAATTAATAATTCAACAATTAAGATTGGAATTTTATATGTAAAAAATGAAAACCTTGGTTTTCATTATATTAAAAATTATTCGATGCGAGAAGACAAGCCGATAGAATAAAGTTTATATAAATCATTGTCTGTCGATTACTCATTGTCAGAATTATCAAGTGTTAAAACGATTATAAAGATCAAAGAAGCATATGATATTATACTAAATAAATTTATTTTTTAATTCACAAAGAATTACGTTTTAAAGAGAATTTTAGATTGAAAGTGCAAACTGCGCAATTTATATACGTATAGATAATTCGAAGGAGATAAGAGAAAATATTCATAATATATTCATAACATAATTTTCTACAATAATTATAATTTATTTAGATTAAAAGTATCTATAAGCTATAAAATATAATTTTATGGAAAAAAAATAAAAAATATTTTCTGCATTTAAATAGGCTATGTACATTAATTCTACAAATGTTTTACATAGAAAGAAAGGTAGAAAAAATACAATTAATTTATAAATAAGGAAGCTAATATCTTTATCGTTTTCTAAATCTGCAATTTATAATATCAAAAACATCATAAATAAAGTCCATTGTATTATTTTATATTATGCGCATGGCTATTTATTTATAGAATTAATGTGTGCTAGTTAATAGAATCGTAGCTGGTCTCTATGATGTGATAATGAAATCGGATTATCGATTTTGTTTCTGCAGCAAATAGTCGTATACTGACGTGGCATTGATAGACATCAGCTATGCGAGCATGCAGGATAATAACTATGCAGCACCTCTAAACTGGAAACTTTTCATTAATTTATCTACAATGTCGAAATTTTAAATCACCGTAAACATATATGCATCTTATCGTCCAGATATTAACGTTCTTAGTAATATTAATCAGTCATTATTCATAGAGAAATTATGTACACATATACAAACAAAATTATACACAAAAATATTTTCTTTAAAATTATTTTACATTATTTTATCAAAATTAATATTTATACCATTAAGAATTTTTAATCTTCCTAGTTTTATTTTTATATATCAACGAAAGAATACAAATTATTCGATTTACAATATTAATTTGAGGAAAAATGAAATATTATTGTGATATATATGGTGTTACAAAAAAAAATTAAATAATTATATTATCTATAGTCGTTATGCGGGAGGGAATTATTTTTTTTCTTCTTAACTATAACAATTAAATATTATTATTCTTGGCTTGACAAATAATATTTTCTTTATCTTATTTGTCCTCATGATACTATAATTGATAATTTCTACTTATTCTGTGAGATTGATCTTAAAATACAATTTATCTTAAAATATAATTTTATATTTCTCCTTTTATTTTTCTTCCTCTGTACCTTTCTTCTTCTTTTTTTTCATTTTGTCTCCCTCCGTCTCTGTCACTTCCTTTTTTCATTCCTTTCGCACTCCAGAAACGATACCTTTCGATAAATTGCAAATGCATTTGAAGGAAGAATTCCGATCATTAATATCACGCGATTAATGCTGCATGGTTTCTAGAAAATTTTCCTTCCGCGTAATACCTTTCAGTATTGCTATTCACAGAAGTTTCCAGGTCGAGAGACGCTCAGCCATTAATGGCGATTGTGGCACAGTGGGGACAAATAAGAGTGTAGACGACACTCGTCGACAATTCGAAGAAATTCTCACAATCTTTCTCGTCGACAATCCATTTCGTTACGTCTCGCTTATTGCACTCGCGCTTTCTACACGTCACGTCGTTGCAGCATTAATTGCAAACGCATCGTTGCGAGTTAAATTCACAAGATGACCATATGATAATAATTATTGATTAATTCGTTTGATAAGTTTTCTTCGCTTCGCCAGACAATAATATCTCTCAATTTATAATTGTAATCATAATAAAAATATATCTTTAGGCATTATTCATGTTCGAAGAGAACTGTATTATTTCTTAGATCTATACAAATATAATATAAAATATATATTTATAACTATCTAGAAATCAAAAAGATTTACAATTTTATACATCTAAAAATTTGCAAATTAGTTGCATTTATAAAGTTTAATAAGAATCGTGCATTTTACAAAATTACGATAACTAGTTTAGTCTTTAATTTGTAATAATAATATATAAATACAAATATTTATGATATTAATAACAGATTATTGTGATATGACATTTGATTATACTTGATGCGTGTATAAATAATTTTTGGCAAAACTATACTTTTAGTAGGTACTACAATTACACTTTATATACATATGTATGTACAATATTTATTTTGTGTGCTCAATTTGTATATACTGTGTAATGAAAGAGCAAATTACTTTTATCGGTACGTATAAAAATTTGGAACGCGCGATTTTTCAATCCCAGTTTGAAAAGCTTTGACATTTTCTGCTGCGCAACGTGTGTGTATTTTATATATAATACGCCATGGAAATTGCTAGTTTTCAATTTAACCATGTTAAATTACATTTGAATAAATTTTATCAAAAGAAAGAATACGTATTTTTATATAGATTTTTTGTTGCAATTTTTTATTTAAATACACTTTGAACTAATAATCTGTCAGTTTAAATTTAAATAATGTAGTGTAACGAAAGATAACTCGGAGGCACGTGGACTTGTAATGTTTAACAGTGCATCTATTTGTTATGTGACTTTAAAAATAATTGTATTTATAGCATAATATATTTTTATGTTTATATATTTAATATAATCTATTTCTGACAGTAAGAAACTATATTCATTATTAATTGTTGATTTATTATGTTGATTTTTTATTTAAAAAAAAATTTTCTTATGTAATAATTTAACATTTATAATTATTCTCTGATATGTATTTCTGTAATTTAAAAATTTAAGCTATCAGGAAAATCTGTATAAAAGCTTTTATTAATCATTAAGTAAAATTTAATTTTTT